AGATAACATGTAGAGAGTGTTATCTATATTGTTACCTATTATCCCCCACTTCGAAGTGAAAGTAATGTATGTTTATATGAAAAATCATCTCTAAACATGATTCATTAACTAAAAATTGATATAATAAACATCCTCTACAGTCTTAAATTTTTTGTAAGTCTCTCAAAGACATATAGAGAAAGCAAAAAGGCGAGCTACAGTTCAACTTCAATAATTTTCTCAAATTTTATTTCTTAGTATTTTGAACAAGAGGAAAATGTTAAAGACTGGAAGGAAAGATAGCTATTTCAGAACAAGGGATTCTACTTGGTATGGCCATAACTATATATGTTACTACATAGTGAACTCAGTGCAGGAGAGCTGAAGAGAGGGCTTGGCAGGAGACTAGGCTGGCTACAGAGACAATCCATCAGTGCATCTAAATTCAGTCTACTTAGTTATTACCAATGTGTCTCTACAATCCCTGGGAATGTCACAGGGCTCTGCAGAAAGCCCCAGAACAGTCTTCCTTCTCTATGATGGTGACTGTATAGTCTATGGGTTTTACTGAGGACTAAACACATCTGATAGCTGACCCTGTCCCCAATTCTAAAGGAAGGGATGATTTTAAAGAAACAAACAAACCAAAAAAAACCTATTCACATTACAATCTAATTGGGGCCTCCAGGGAAAATAATTTTTCTTTTATTGATATAGGCAAATCTCAAACCCTAGATGTACTGATTCAGGATTAAAAATATTTGAGATGGTCATATAATAACTTGATGATTGCTGAGAAAAAATTATGAAGAGCTATTGGCGCAAACTCAGAACAAAGTTCTTAAAAATTAATATGTCACTGAAAGATGGATTCAAGAAGCATAAATGGTTATGATGAGGGGAAGATGGTTTATTTGCCCAAAACAGGAAGAAGAACCCAGGTATTACTGTGATCCTTGGTTTGGGTATTACGACTAAGCTGAGCAAGTATCAATAGATTGTACAAATAGATCCATGAGATTATACAGATTCATGAATATTCATAAGACATTCACAAAATTTTTAAATAGCATATGGCAAATTATATATTTGTATAGGTTCTGTATTAATGTTCACATATCTGTATTACATATAATACATGTAGGTATATTTGCAGAAGAAAACTGTAAAAGCATACATTCCAAAATATTAGCTTCTCTGCTATGCTAAATTCCCATTTTTACATATCAGACCAAATTTTTTAACTTTGTAAATGACCCATATGTTAAAAGCAGATAAAGTATAAATGGAAGGTCTTATAATTTCCAATTGCTTTAAAATACATTACAAAAATAAGTTAACTTGATACTTTAAATTTTTATTCTGGCAGCTTGTGGAAGATAATACTGATGCTTACTGTCTTCTCTGAGGACACTATTATTACTAATGATTGTTAGGGGTGTTTTTTGGGGGGTTGTTTTTTTTTTAGTACACAGAAGATCCATTACTAGCTTTTGAACTTGTGCTATAAAAGACTTTCCGATGTTTCAACTTAATTGCAGATTATAAATGTCAAAGTGGTAGTATAGTAACCTCTCTCAGAATTTCAAACATTAGATTTTCTTACCAAAGAAATTGTTCTTAACATTACTCACCTTGAAAAGATTTTTATTCCAGTAATGAAGAGATATTGGAGAATAATGAAGAAAATATTGCCTTGATGTACAATAACAGCAAATCCATTGAGGGGATGCTTTGCACTATATTGCTAATAGAACACTAGCAATTTCCCAAAGCTGTGTCTGATTATGCTTAGCCAAGAATGACCACAAGTTTACATACAAGTCTCACTGCACGTTCATTTTCAATTTTGTATCCTTAACAGTTTATGTGGTTTCACAGTAAGAGAAAATATGACTAACTTTTAAAATCATGAGAGCATTGCCATTGGATACACTATACTCCTTAATAATAATTAAGAGGCCACCAAAATGTCACATAACTTTTTATTACACAGTAGCATCATGTGCTGCATCTTCAAACTAAAGAAGATCTTAGGTGACATCATCTCATTAGAGATCCCTACATGCATTGTAAATGTAAAATATTTGAAAAATACAATAAAAAGATGTCAGTTAATCACACTTCAGAGTCAATTATTTTGCCAAAACTTAACTCTTATTATATAGGAAAAGTGGTTTACTCATGGAATATTAGCATTTATAATTACAGTAAAATATTCATATTCCCAGTCTTTAATATCTGCTTAAGTTTGCATGGCTGAGTTTAATACCATAGTGAAATATTTAGTGTCTGTGAGCTGAACAGAATGTGACTCAAAGGAGGTAGGTGGGTTCCTAAGGTGGGTTGTCAGTTCATCTTAATGTGATCCATTGAGATTGTTTCCTGTGTGACCCTACTATCTTTCAGAGTTCTGCTCTCAAGAAAACCAAGATCACAGTTAATGATGCTTCTCTGAGATAATGTCATAAATGTGAGAACTTGACACATGATTGGAAAAGACCCTGATGAGAAGGGAACCCATCCTGGTAAGAAGGGAATATTTTAATCAGTGCATTGAATCCATTCCTGTAACTATTTAATTATAGTCTCTCAGGTAAATCCATTTTCACTTACTGATGTAGGAAAAATAGCAAGTCCTTACAGACATTGACTGAAACATTTAATTGATGGCTATTGTAATTAATTTGCAATAACTGAGGGGAAAAAAAACTATAAAGCAGCTATTGACCCAAACTCAGTATTGCAAAGTTAACTTATTATTTCATTATCTTAATGACAGTTATTTCAATGAAGCAAAATGGAGATTTAGCTACTAATTTACATCACAGATAAGGCAAGGAAGAAAAGTCAGTTATCTCTTTGGTAATGGGTATTAGCAGAGAATGTAGCAGTTTTGTAGTATGACAATTCAGTAGCACACATTCTAGTTTAAAGCAAAAAACCACAGGTAAATTTTAAAAACACAAAATATGACATCCATAGGCATAGAATTTTTTTATAAAAATCAAATTCAGTGATACAGCAATATCAAGAAGTCCAAATAGGAAAGAAGATAGTTTTGTACTTGTATGGAGGAAAATAATGATGCTGGCATTCAACCAGCCACCATTTGCTAGGCATTGGCTACATGACTGGGTTGTGTTAGTTTTGTATGTTGCCAGGGTAAGTGCCATGATAGAAATAAGTACTGTTTGGCAATGGTACATAAATGGGAGTTGAAGGATCCAACACAGCCATCCCGTTTAAAAGGACTTCCCAAAGGAAATAATACTTAGGCTGAAAGTGAAAGGGAAATTGATGTCCTCAAGTTGAATTCAAGGACTGTTAAAGAAAGATGGAGTGACAATGGGAAACAATTGGAAGGGAGATTGCTCCAGACAGGTGCTTCCTATGAAATGATTATCCAACAGCTGGCATATTATGTAAGCTGAATTACTGTAATCAATTGGCTTTATTAGAAGGAATACTTGGAGAGAAGATGCTAGGAATATAGAGTCCGTGAAACGAACTTTGCATGTTTCAGTATGAGGCATATGTGGCTGTGCATAACTAAATTTCAGAAAAGAGATCACTAGTGGATATACAGGTAAAAGAATTATCACATGTAGATTCTATTTGGAGACACAGTTACCACCCTCCCCAAAGTACATATGCACTTTATACACAAAATGACAAAAACATATTTTGTTATAGGGGTTGTACATAAAATTATAATTAGTGGTGGATTTTGGAGAGCCCCTACAGCAAGTCCAAATTATTTGTTATGTAATTGTGTTTTAACAAGGACCAATCTGAGAGCAAAGATATGAAACTGTTACTGAACTTTAAGATTTAAACTTCAAAATAGAGAAGAATACATGGGAGTAAAGAAAAATCTTAATATTTATGATATCACAAAGCATTGTCAATAAAAACCAATCCAGAATATAGACAAGGTAATTTAAAATAAATTTAGGAAAATCCAACGAAGAGATGGAATCTACAAGTTATTAGATAGTGGCACAGTTAAATTGATCTTTAAGAAATATCTCTTCAGGGGCCGGCCCGGTGGAGCACTGCTACAGTGCGCCGCTTGGGAAGCACAGCGGCGCTCCAGACGAGGGTTCGGATCCCACATACAGACTGGCCGCTCACTGGCTGGGCGAGGTGCGGGGGCAAACACCGAGGGTTGCGATCCCGTTGCCGGTCCCGGTCCGGTACGGGCGCGACACTGAGGGTTGCGATCCGTTGCCAGTCACGAAAAAAGACAAAAAAAGGGGGGGAAAAAAGAAATATCTCTTCAAAAATAAGAAAAGGAAACTTACAAGCTAAGTCCATGAGTTTATTGATAATATTAATGACCAAATTGAAGAATAAGTTTCATGTGGACCAGTGACTTGCTTGAGCTTACTTCTCACGTTTCTCACTACTGAAATTTGGCATTCCTATATTCTAATAAAATATCTGATATTTTGTTCATGAAGACTATACAAAAATCAGGGGTCAATTATGAGAAACCGTACAATAACAACATTCATCCTCCTGGGACTAACAGATGATCCACAACTTCAGGGTTTGCTTTTAGTTTTTCTGTTTTTTACCTACTTATTGAGTGTAACTGGGAACTTGGCTATTATTTCACTTACATTTATAGATTCTCACCTTAAAACACCAATGTACTTTTTCCTACAAAATTTTTCCTTGGGCAAACACCGAGGGTTTCGATCCCGTTGCCGGTCCCGGTCCGGTACGGGCGCGACACTGAGGGTTGCGATCCGTTGCCAGTCACGAAAAAAGACAAAAAAAGGGGGGGAAAAAAGAAATATCTCTTCAAAAATAAGAAAAGGAAACTTACAAGCTAAGTCCATGAGTTTATTGATAATATTAATGACCAAATTGAAGAATAAGTTTCATGTGGACCAGTGACTTGCTTGAGCTTACTTCTCACGTTTCTCACTACTGAAATTTGGCATTCCTATATTCTAATAAAATATCTGATATTTTGTTCATGAAGACTATACAAAAATCAGGGGTCAATTATGAGAAACCGTACAATAACAACATTCATCCTCCTGGGACTAACAGATGATCCACAACTTCAGGGTTTGCTTTTAGTTTTTCTGTTTTTTACCTACTTATTGAGTGTAACTGGGAACTTGGCTATTATTTCACTTACATTTATAGATTCTCACCTTAAAACACCAATGTACTTTTTCCTACAAAATTTTTCCTTCTTAGAAATCTTATTCACGTCAGCTTGTATTCCTAGATACTTGTATAACCTATCAACAGGTGACAAGACTATTACCTACTGGGCTTGTGCCATTCAAGCATTTTTTACTGATCTTTTTGGAGTAACTGAATTTTTTCTCCTGGCCATCATGTCCTATGACCGCTACGTGGCCATCTGCAAACCCCTGCATTATATCACCATTATGAGCAGCGGAGTCTGCCGAAGACTCGTACTTTGCTGTTGGATGGCTGGCTTGTTAATCATACTCCCACCATTTAGCCTGAGCCAAAATCTGGAATTCTGTAACTCTAACGCTATTGACAGCTTTCTTTGTGATGTGTCTCCCTTCTTGAAGATCTCATGCTCAGATACGTGGCTCATTGAGCAGATAGTTATAGCCTGTGCTGTGTTGACCTTCATCACAACCCTTCTTTGTGTAGTTCTCTCCTACACATATATAATCAAGACTATTGTAAGATTCCCTTCTGCCCAGCAAAGGAAAAAAGCCTTTTCCACCTGCTCTTCCCACATGATTGTGGTTTCAATCACCTATGGCAGCTGCATCTTCATCTATGTCAAACCTTCAGCAAAAGAATCAGTGGCTATTAATAAGGGTGTGATAGTGCTCACTACTTCAATTGCTCCTATGTTGAACCCCTTCATTTACACCTTGAGGAACAAGCAAGTAAAACAAGCCTTCAATGACTCAGTCAAAAGAATCGCCTTATCTTCCAAGAAGTAAAGAAATGCCAAAGTTCATGATTCATTATAATAGGAGATTGATTCCCAAAGCATGTATCATTAAGTTCCTAAAATAATTTGCTCCTTCCTATTCCACAGTTCATTCAAATAAAATTTCTTGAAATATTTCTTGCATCCACAACTTCTGTTAGTAAGGTCTAATCTTTTCACTTCTTGCAAATACACTTCTTTTATTGATGTTATATTAATAGTTTTCTATAAGAACAAAAATATCACATCATGTACAGCCTTACAAAAAGCACAAACCAAAAAAATTTTTTAAAAAGCAAAATGGGACAATTTATAAAAGAATAGATTAGAAAAAAATCTATTAGGCAATAACGCTCACTTTTTTTATTTTACCCATACTTCTCAAATAATCCCTTGATTCATTAAACACACATTGCCCTCTCACTTACATTATTTAAAATAAAACACAGCACAAGGGCCGGCCCAGTGGCGCACTGGATAGTGCGCCACTTGGGAGGCGCGGCAGCGCTGCCGCCCGAGGGTTCGGATCCCACATACAGACCGGCTCCCGCTCACTGGCTGAGCGAGGCGTGGGAGCAACACCGAGGTTTGCAATCCCGTTGCCGGTCCCTGGTCCGGTACGGGGGCAACACTGAGGGTTGCGATCCGTTGCCGGACACGGAACAAAAAGACAAAAAAAAAACAAAAAAAGATTATTAATAGCAGAAAAACACCTGATGATACAGAACTTACTAATAAAAGTAAATGGCACACTCTATTATGGTAATTGTGGTGCATAATTCCATATTATTATTATGAACACTAACAAACAAAATTATTAGAATCATTATAACAAAAAAAAAAAAAAAAAAAAAAAAAAAAAAAAAAAAAACACAGCACAAAACCAACAGTAATCCTGCCCTCATGCAGCATATGTCACAGAACAAATGTATAGCTAAAATGTAAAAATAAGTTAGCACCACTGTTAAGAATCCCAAGACAAAATTTAAATGAAAGGCAACCAAAACAGCAACTCATGCAAATTATAATACAGATTATTCAGAATTCATCTATACTGTCAAAATTATTAAAATCGTAAGTACATTCCCAAAATGAAAGTGATGAAAAACTCTTCTTAAAAAGCACAGAAAGTTATAAGGAAAAGACAAAATAATAATTGAGTTTGAGGAATTGATTATTGGTAATGCAAAAAGCATCCAAAAACCTGAAGCAAATTTTATTATTCAATCTTCAAATCCACATGGTAACATAAGCAAGAAAGTGACAGCAAGTCAAAAGAACCTTGATATACTCATTCAAAAATTAAGAAAATCAAACCAACAAAATACATGGAAGCCTCCGCCCAGGTAATACATCACATTAATGTAAAATATTCATTGCTAAAATAAAACTAATTATGTTTAATACTACAAGCATAACCAAATAAAAATGTTTAATTTTTTTAGATTATCATGGATATATTAATGAATAGAGATTAGAATGAAGATGAGCCCAAAGGTAGAACATCAACCTTATTTAAGAGTGTTGAAATTCCATTGACCACAAATAATTATAAAGAAGGGGTGATGAATTTCAAGTCCAAGCTGCCTCCTAGAGCAAGATACACTGCAGTCAAGTAGACAGTACAGGCAGTTTGGAGAATACGGCTGCCCATTGTTTGCATACAGCTGCTTCTAAAGGAGGAAGAGCTCTCCAATAGCCATGGCACCACTAGATCCATCATCACTTCTATCTTTTTTGATGCATTTTCCCAGAAATTCTGTTGACTCAAAATTTTCCACTAACTTAAGCCCCTTTTCCAAACTTCTCCATTTTTCCTTTTTTATTATTGAAACATAATAATACATATTTGTGGGGTACAGAGTTAACTATCAATACTTGTGTACAATATGTGATGACCAAATGAGGATAATTAGCATAGTCATCATTACAATATGTAATCATTCTTTGTATCCACTGATGATTTCTCACTAATCGCCCACTCCACCTTTCCCACCTCTAGTAACCACAGTTCTGTTCGGTCCTTCTGAAAGTTCAACGTATTATTGTGTCCTTTCTTTCTTTCTTTCTTTTTTATTTTTCTTTCTTTCTTTCTTTATTTCATTCATTCTTTCTTTCTCCCATATTTCCTTGACTAGCCTCCTTTACTGAAAACTCTCCTAATTTAACAGACCTCTGATTTACCCTTGGTATGAAGTGGCACTTTTCACACTCAACATTTTATTCAGTTGATATTACTTTTCCATTTTCTAACAGCTCTTAGATATCCCCTGACCTGCCATGAGCCACAAAGCAATTGAAATTTTCTCTGAGTGTGTTGTAAGAATCAGGTCCATCCTGCAGTTACAGCTCCACAAAAAGTGGGAGTTGTGGTCATATACACCAGACACTCAGTTGTGACAATGAGCAGGCCTACAAGCATGGGTCTAGGCCTTCTACATTTTTCAGTTTCAAAGACCCCTTTATTCCGTCTCCTAATTCTCCTCAAAGTGTCCGAAAGAGCTGAAAATATCATAATATTAATAGCCAATATATTTCGTGTATTTACCCTGTACCTATACTTGACCTAGGCACTTTATATGACTTATCTTATTTTATACCCACAATGACTGTGTAGGTAGATATTAATTTCATCTTTTAGTTTTTTTAAATGAAGGAACTGAGACTGGGGAACTAGTTTAGACGTCTTTTAAACCCAGGTATGTGACTTAGCCGCTCTGCTTTATACAAATCATGCTTTTCCCAACAAATTTGAAAAGGTTAAGAGTTCTCCTTTTCTCTTTTTAACCAGTACGCCAGTACTTTGAGGAAATAGTTATCTATTCGTATAGTAATGATTTATAAGCAAAATGTGGAAATCTTTATTATCTCCAGAGAAAAGGCTTAGGAAAGTTCAGGAAAAGAGACTGAGCATTTCAATGGCTTGAACTGCAAAATTTATTTCATCTTCTCACATAAGTCTTACACTAAAATAAAATATAAGGCAATAGTTTCTGGAAAGGATTCCAGGAATTTCTCTGAGATAAACTCTTAGGAAGCAGTTGTGTTGCGTTCCTGCTCAAATTAATGTGCAAATGCAGTAAATTAAAAGGCAGAGTTTCATTGTAGCTTATGTTATATGTCCCCTCCTAAATGCACAAGCACACATGTGCTCTTTCCAATACATGACAAAGCTATAGCCTTCCATTTACTTAAGTCATCTATAGTTTCTTGTAATAAAGTTTCTTTGGTTTCCAGGTCATCAGCTTTGCACATGTTTTAACAGCTTTGTTCTTTGGTATCTAATATTTTTATGTCACTGTAAATAGGATCATTATTTTAATTTATTTTATTTGTAGTTCCTGATATTTTGCTGCAAGAACAGACATACAATTTATATCTGTATGTGATCTCAACAGTTTTGCTAAACTCAGATTTGAATTTTAATGTTTTCTGTTTATTCATTTTGATTTCTTATGTACATAACCCGTCATCTATAATTAATGATATATCTTTCCTTCTTCAGCCAACTTACTTCTTCTTTATTTGCCCCTTTAAACTGGCAAAAAAATCTGAATACAGTGTTAAATGTGGGTGATGAGAGTTTTTTTTTTTTTTTTTTTTTTTACTCATATCTGGTAGATATCGTTCAATATTTCATCACCAAATATGATATTTGCTGAAGGGGATATTTTTGAATTTTTTGATTTTCTTTATTAAATTAAAGTTCTTTCTACTCAAAGTTTGATGAGAGTTTTTAAATAAATGAGTATTGAATTTTATTAGATGCTATTTTTTTTTTCCTTTTTTGTCTTTTTTTTGTGTCCGGCAACGGATCGCAACCCTCAGTGTCACGCCCATACCGGACCAGGACTGGCAACGGGATCGCAGCCCTCAGTGTTGCACCCGCACCTCGCTCAGCCAGTGAGCGGGAACCGGTCTGTATGTGGGATCCGAACCCTCGGCGGGAGCGCTGCTGCGCTCCCAAGCAGCACACTCTAGCAGTGCGCCACCAGGCCGGCCCATTAGATGCTATTTTAATCTGTTGAGACTAGCATGTGGATTTTCTCTGTTTATGTAATGAATATACATTAAGTTGTTTTCTAGTCAACTTCACACACCTGGAATTAATTCAAACTGGTCATGATACAGCATCAGTTTTAGAGGTCAATGGATTTAATTTGTGAATACTTTTTTTTTTTTTTTGGCATTTATGCCAAAGACAGATTAGTCTGTAATTTTTCTTTAATTTCTTAAACTTGACAGATACTGGTTAAATCAATTCTGGCCTCACAAAACCAGAAAGGGAGTGTTCCTTCTTTATCTATTGATATGGGCTGAATTGTGTCCCCCAGATTTTCATGTATTTGAAACATAATCCCCACTGTGACTGTTAGGAGGGTGGAAAATCTATTATGGTAATTCAAATGTGGAGCCTTGAAGAGGTGATTAGATAGTGAGGACCATGCCCTAGTGAATGAATTACTCTATTGATAGTTTAATGGTGGTCAGGAGCACAGTTTTCATGGCTTTAAAAGGAGAGCTCATGAGAAGTGGTCTCCTTCGCGCTCTCTCTCTCTCTGTCTGTCTGGCTTCTGCCATTTTTGCCCTGGGATATCCTGTGCTTCTGTGGAAAGTCACCACCCTCCAAAGAAGAAGACACTCACCAGATATGTTTCTTGGACTTATGACTTCCCAGCCTCTGAACAGTAAGCAATAAAAAAAACTGTTTCTTTACAAATTACCCAGTTTCAGCTATTTCTGTTATAAGCAACAGAACCAGACTAATACATCTATGCTCTGGAAACTTTTGTGAAAAAATTACATTTATTTCTTACATTAATTACATTTATTTCTTAAATTTTTAAAAGATTTTATCAGTGAATACACCTATAGTTATATACACAAAGGAATGGAAATCATCATGTTGAAGGGATACCTGCACTCCCATGATCATCACCTCTCTATTTACAATAGCCAAGATATGGAATGAATATAAATGTCCATTGATGGATGACTGCATAAGGAAAA